GCTCCTAAATACCTAAGTTCTTTTTACTTGAATATTTAGTCATCTCAAAATACTAAGTATTTGTGTATTTAGTACCCAAAGTGGTACTTTAAGTATTATTTAGGTGTGCCCAACACTGATTTAGAGGCACTATTTTTGAATATCTAGGCAAAAATTTGGAAGTTAGGGGGGCCCGGGCCCCCTGCCCCTACCTGGCTACGCCCATGAGCATGGCTTACTGGTGTCAAGTAAATCTTATGCCTCTAAATCTTAAGAAACGTAAAAAAATGTGCTCGCGAAGAGCTGTTCATCCCGCTTCTTATACAATAGGTAACCATAGCCTGGAACAGGTATACAATTTTGTGGACCTTGGTATCACAATGGATCCTAACTAAAGCCCTGTTTACAACATTAGTTAGACCGATTCTGGAAAACGGTTCGGTGGTTTGGAATCCAAGGTATCAAATTTACTCAGACAAGATAGAGTCAATTCAAAAACAATTCCTACTTTTTGCTTTAAGAAATTTCCGTTGGGATTCTCAATATACCCTTCCACCTTATACGAGCCGATTAAAACTTATTAATCTTCCTACACTTTCCAGCCGCAGGCAAATGCTTGGGATTATTATTATTATTATTATATTTTATGTCTGCATACCAAATTTCAAGTTCATGTGCCTTATGGTTTGGTTCTGAAGTGTTGGTTGATAAAAAATTTCACGCCTCTTGAATGTGCCACACCCTCTTTATGAAACTCATATATATATGCCCTATTATAAGCACCTACCATAATATGACTGCATACCAAATTTCAGGTTCATGTGGTTTATAGTTTAAGATTTATAGCTGATAAAATGTTCTACGTCTATTGGATGTGCCACGCCCACTTTTCCAAACTCATTTATATATATGTTCTTTACTCTAAAGACCTCCGATTTACATATACATCTGCATACCAAATTTCAAGCTCATGTGCCTCTGGTTCCGAGGTTATAGCTGATAAAAAATTTGACGGCTATGGGAGTTGCCACGCCCCCTTGTCGAATCTCAAATTTTTCTCCCTATTATAGGCCCAGGTGTCATGGCAATATTCTGTAAAAAGTTCGTTCGATTCTGTCCATCCGTTTAAGCTGCAACCTGGCACATACATACATACATACATACTTCCACAAATATCTAGGAGATGTCTATCCGTAGATATATCTTCCCTTAGCGTTAAATAATTTGTGGGAATATCTCGGCCATAGTTCCACCTATCGTGTAAGTTTTAAGCCCAAATATATATTTTCAATTGGCTAAATTGTATTCTAAATATGAGCCAGATCTACAAGAAAATGCAGTTTTTAGGAATATTCCGACCCTAGCGAGTGCATTTTAGGTCAGAATATTTCTTTTATAGGTGCTGACAGATGTTCCAAATATGAACCAAATTGGGCTAGCCGTTTAGTAGTTTAGTGGCATTCATTGTAAAGAAAACTCTATGAAATTGTGAAATCGTGGCGTCTCAGTATTTTTCATTATTCGGAAACAACACCAAGAGTTTAAAATTTTTTTAAGTCAAAAAAACTTCCAGACAGAACGTCCAAAAGAGTACTTTTTACAGAATTTAAATCGGTTCAGCCGTTTGGTCAGGCATCGCCCTCATACGGAAAACATTTCACTTTTATATATGTAGACTAGCAGAGCACCCGCAGCCGTTCGGGGTAATTAAATCCAAATATAAAACAGCAATATAAATATTTAGATCAGCATAAATTAGAGCAGAAAAACTATTTTCTTTTCCTTCTAAATGATTGCATCCTTATAAGCCATACTTTAAGATTTATCGTACTTTAATCTAACATATATTGATCACCACTTGCTGTACTAAAAATCTTGTTCGATTAATTATATTAGCTGGATTAGGGTAACGATAGAATTTTTAAATTAAAATTAGTCCACTATCGTACATTTCGTTTAGCTTTCTATTCGCTTAGCTGTTTTAGGGCCGGTTGCTCAATGTCTGGTTAACACTAATCTGCGGTTAAACATCGTTGTCGACCTCTTCGACTCCATGCATAGAACAGGGAGTCGGTAACAATGGTAACTATGTTTAACCGGCGATTAGTGTTAACCAAACATTGAATAACCGGCCCTTAGTATAGCTGCATTTTTCCTGTAGAATGCTTATTTCAGAAAAAGTTTTATTCACTATACATGCACATGTTTTGTTTAACAGCATCGCGAGATCAATAATATGATTTAATCTTTCCATTTCAAGATGGTCTAAAGACTGTAAACTTTAAAAAAACACTGTTTTAAATATCCGAGTGCTCTAGTAGTTACATACATATTTATCCCCCTTTTACAGACACATTTATATATACTTTATTCTAAACACATCCCATACATATGTCTGCATACCAAATTTCAGGTTCGTGTGACTTATGGTTCCCAATTTTATAATGACAGGATGGCGCTTACACATATGTTAATGTGTGCGCCTTGATGTTGTCACACAAAGCGGAGGGACTTTCAGTTTTACGCCGACTCCGAACGGCGATTTATTTTTATGAGAAGCTGTTTTCATGGCAGAAACACACTCAGAGGTGTGCCATTGCCTGCCGAGGGACGACCGCTTTTGAGAAATAACCTTTTTCTATATTTTTTTGCGATGTTTCTTTGACCAAGGCTTTAACCCAGGTGCTGATGAGCAAAAGCGCGCACTGCTTACCACTATACCACAACGGCCGACTGGTTCCCAATTTATGGCTGGTTAAAAATTCCACACCTATGGGATTTGACACGCCCCCTTTTATTAACCTATTAATATATATCTTACTATAAACACCTACCAAAGATATGTCTGCATACCAAATTTCAATTTCATGTGAATTATGATTTTAAAGTTATAGCTGATAAAAACTTCCACGCCTATGGGATGTGCCACGCCTCCTTTTAAAAATTCATTTATGTGTAATGTATATGCAATGGCAAACCTCCGAGTGTATTTCTGCCAGGAAAAACAGCTTCTCATAAAAATACAATCGATGTTCGGGGTCAGCATAAAACTGTAGGTCCCTCCGCCTTGTGTGACAACATCAAGGCGCACGCCATAAATCGGAGGAGAAGCTCGGCCAAACACTAACATATGTGTAAGCGCCAATCTATTTTTATAAGCACCTACCATAGCTAAGCCTGCATACTAAAGTTAAAGTTCTTGTGACTTATGCTTTCGAACTTAGAGCTGATAAAAAATTTCAAGGCTATGGGATGTGCTACGCCTCCTTTTAAAAACTCATTTATATGTATATATCATTTTATAAGCACCTACCATATCTATACCTGCATACCAAATTTCAAGCTCATGGGGCTTATGGTTCCGAAGTTATAGCTGATAAAAAATTCAACGCCTATGGATCGGCCGCTGTGGTGTAGTGGTAAGCAGTGCACGCTTCCACTCCACAGCACCTGGGTTCAAGTCCTGATCAAAGCAACATCGCAAAAAAAATATAGAAAAAAGGTTTTTTCTTAACAGCGGTCGTCCCTAGGCAGGCAATGGCAAACCTCCGAGTGTATTTCTGCCAGGAAAAACAGCTTCTCATAAAAATACAATCGATGTTCGGGGTCAGCGTAAAACTGTAGGTCCCTCCGCTTTGTGTGATAACATCAAGGCGCACGCCATAAATCGGAGGAGAAGCTCGGCCAAACACTAACATATGTGTAAGCGCCAATCTATTTTTATAAGCACCTACCATAGCTAAGCCTGCATTCTAAAGTTAAAGTTCTTGTGACTTATGCTTTCGAACTTAGAGCTGATAAAAAATGTCAAGGCTATGGGATGTGCCACGCCATCTTTTATAAACTCATTCATATACACCTTACTATAAGCACCTACCATAGCTGTGCCTGCGCACCAAATTTCAAGTTTTTGGGGCTTATGGTTCCCAAGTTAGAGCTGATAAAAAATTTCCCGGCTATGGGATGTACCACGCCCCCGTTTATAAACTCATTTATATATACCTTATTATAAGCACCTACCATAGATATGTATGTCTGTACAACAAATTTATAGTTCATGTGACATAGTTTCGGAGTTATAGCTGATAAAATATTCCACGCCTACGGGATGTGCCACGCCTCCTTTTATAAACTCATATATATACACCTTACTATAAGCACCTACCATTGCTGTGCCTGCATATCAAATTTCAAGTTTGTGGGGCTTATGGTTCCCAAGTTAGAGTTGATAAAAAATTTCACGGCTATGGGATGTGCCACGCCCCTTTTACAAACTCATTTATATATACCGTATTTTAAGCACCTGCCATAGATATGTCTGCATACCAAATTTCAAGTTCATGGGGCTTATGGTGCCCAAGTTACAGCTGATAAAAAATTTCCCGGCTATAGGATGTACCACGACCCCTTTTATAAACTCATTTATATGTACCTTATTATAAGCACCTACCATAGATATGTCTGTACACCAAATTTATTTATTTATTTATTTATTTTATTTTTTTAAGCTTATACAACAGAGCCTATCATATAAACTAAGAAATCGCAGCGCTAGCTACATAGGCTATCGGCTGACTGGTGAGGACTTGCTGATTAGATGCTTCGTAGGAGATCTGAGTCCTTTAGAAACTTGTAGATCTTAGAGATGTTGTCTTTAGATGGATTAATGAGAAGCTGTAGGGGCTCACTTGACTCAAAATTTCGTCGTCTGTGTATCTCCAGTGCAGGGCAGAAAGTTAATAGATGTAGAACACTCACTGTTGCGTCGCAGAAAGGGCATGG